GTTCTACCGCTGTGGTACATCTGCCTACCACAGCAGTAGAACCTCGCAAGTGCTATCGATTCTCAGATGTATTCCTGGTATTCTGAACAACAAGGCTTCTTCATCTGGATGTTGGCCACTGGACAAAAACGTAGTATTTTACAACAATAATCTACGATGAGAGGCAACAGCCACAAAAGAAAATACCTGACAGATTTAAAAATTATTTAATCTTATTTAATATTTAAATTTAATCATTATAGTATAATTCTATACCATTTTAACAGAATGAAGTTTCATCATTAAATATTTCAATTTTAAAACAAACACAGAATACCCACAAGTACCAATAGACAGCATACATCAAAAACAAAGACCTTAAATAAAATACCGTATTTTCCAGACTATAAGTCGCACTTGTTATTTTCACACTGACAGCCACAAGAGGGCACCCTGAGCTTTTGTACAAGTATCTGCTACTACTGCAGCACTGAAAATGTACATGTTCGTTACTGACAGCCACCAGAGGGCACTGGTGCGACTCTGAAGTGACTTACATATGTTTTTTTTTTTTTTTTCGTCTTCGTTATGCATTTTTGGCCGGTGCGACTTATTGTCCGGAAAGTAAGATAATGTTCTCATGAAACTGTATCTAGGATTAAAGTAAAATTTGTTTAATGCCTCAACACACCACAAATTCCTCAAACTCCTAAAAATGAAACAAAAAACTCCATTGCTCCATTTCTCTTCAAGTTGCCAGAATCAACCAGGAAACGCTACACCATCAAACTGATCAATCGACATAAACAATCACCGTTCATCCAATCAATACCACCAGACAATACAGTGATTCGCCGGTGATTGATGGGACAATCAGGACACAAATCTTAAAAGCAGGAAAACGGACTGAGCGACAGACTGAGCGACAGACTGAGCGACAGACTGAGCCAAGTTCTCTCTGGACACTGACAGCTGTGATATAAGGCAGACTGACTGATTTGTGTAGTTGCGGGGGCGGGGGGGAGGCATCGTCATGCTGCCACTGTTTCTTTATCTCAAATTTCCTTTCATCTATTCTACAATGAACACCAATCACTGAAATTCTCCTTTAACATTCAAACACAAAGCAGCGCGGCCGGCAACGCACTGTTAAAGTTCTGCAATCAGTGAGCTTTCACTGGACGACTGTAACTCCGCCCTCGGACGGGGACTGCTGTAATCACATCCTAGCAACAGTTACTAGGCCAACTGAAGCTGTACACATGGACCTGTACTGCATCACAAATATGCTGTAAATAGCACTGTCAGAATTAACATGTCAACATGTTATTGATTCAAATTAAAAAAAATGCACATACAGTACATGCACAATCACTTACATATTATGTGGTTTTGAGTTTAGAAACTGCTAAATACTCCTTTCTACACCTGTCACCTGTCAACCAGTCTTTGTACAGCAGAGTGGACGTCTCACTGTGTTCACTTCGCTAGTCCAACACTGAAAAGCCTGTCATCAACTGTGGCTATTTCTGAAGAAAAACTGTGAAGTGAATGCCACGGAGACCAGAGTTCTTTTTTCTGGTATTGACACATGGGCTGTGGTTTCTCCTAATATTATATTAATAATAATAAAAAATGTACTATATTGATCCGATATTTGGGAAATTGTTGTGTTAACAGCAGCTATGTTGCTAGCAAGCGCCAAGCATGTGGTTCCTCGGGGAATGGAACCCAGGACTCTCTACTCCCGAGGCAGGCGTGCTAACCGCTACAGTAGGCAACTGACATATGTAATAATAATAATAATAATAATAATAATAATAATAATAATAATAATAATAATAATGTGTTTTGATACCAACGTTAGCCTCGGCGTTAGCCTCAGCGTTAGCTTTGCTGTGTTACCTTGACCAGTTCTTTCTGAGGCCAGATCTGGATCGGTTCCACTTGTTGGGGAGTCTGGGTCTGGATGCCGTAAGTGTTTAGAAAAACCTGCAATCTGCACAGAAACAGAGAAAGAATTTATATGTTACTGGTCCGACAACAGTCCAGAGTCGACTCTCTGCTAACACTGACTCTGACACTTGACATAGTCAATAAGATAAATTAAGTACACAAATAAAACACAGAGTAAAAACCAGGGAGAAAGGTCAAAGGTCTCAGCTGAAATGAAGAAAAGAAAAGAACTGTATATATATATATATAAATATATATAAATATATATTACCTCTGGCTTTCAGCAATGAGGGCCATGTGAATCACAACATCGTACTCTATGTGCCCCAGACAGGGCAGATACATTAGCATGTGAAGCACATGTCAGCAACGTCTTGTATAAAAACGCAACACAACAATAGTGAGGATTTGTGTTTTCTGGAAACAACTGTTGTTGTAGAAATAACACAAGACCCAACGGAAAAGTACTGAACGTTGGGGTATTTCACCGTCAACACGTACAATTATCAACCACCACCTTTTCACCCATTCAATAATGCATTAAAAATTCACATTAAAATATTAATGTCATACTGTAATAACAATAACAATAACAAAAATAATATCTCAAAATTATTTTTTACAAAAAGAAATTAACACAACAACATTTAGTTCAATTAATAATAATTAGTGACATACAGGTCGTCTATGCTGCAATAACAGGTGATGGAATGAAAGACAGTGATGAATAAAGTGATTTCAGTTTAGTGGGAAAAAAACCCAAACTGACTCAGTAGTTGTTTTTTTTTTTTTTTTTTTTTGTCAGAGAAACCAAAAACAAAAACATGCAGGTTAGACAAAAGTGTTGAAGGACAAAAATGAAATGAAGAAGAAAGAACAGCATCAGTCAAGGAGGACATTCATGTATCACTGTCATCTTCACTGAAGGCCATGTCAGATGTTGTTATTTTTCTTCATTTTTCGTGGATATTAAAGAAAACTCACGACGCAGGGAAGAAGCTGCAAAACTGTCTGAGCTTTTTAAAAATGAGGTCACTTTTTTAAAAGTTTTCTAGTTATACGGTGTACCACAGAGATGGAGGGGGGGGCAGATACTTTGTATAAAAGCAGCTGATTACAGGTGGTCGTAGCCAACAGCCTCATTAAGATCACTCAGATATTAGAAAAGAGAACAAAAGATGGAGAATCTGTGTGAAAAGGGAAACAAAACGCTGAGCGCAGGTCTCCTCTGATGAATGACGGAGCGCTCGTCAGGGGCAGCTGTGGCTCAGTGGTTAAGGAGTGTTGATGGTCCCCACTGTTCACTCTAGTGATGGTTAAAAACAGAGATGTGCTGTGTCACAACGACGAGTCGTTCACCTTCCTCTCCTTCTAAACTGCTGAGATGCTACTCTCTCGTTAGCACCGGTCTCCGAGCAGACAAAGAACTCATTTGGCAAAGCACAACATATGGAAATCAAACCCTCTACAACACTGCGGTCAAACTTTAGCAACAGGGATTTGAAAGCTGTGGGGAGACAAATAATTCAGAGGAACACATGAAAGAGACGAGAAACACAAAGACAAGAAGGATCCGTACAGACTGGGTGACAGAGAGGTTTCTGTAACTGAGGTCAGACGTCTGTCAACCAGAGTCAACACCATGACAACGAACAGCAAACGGCTCATACGGTACAACGGGGCGAGGGTTAAAGTCAGGCTACGTGGAGCAGTGGACGGAGGCGTGCTGCTGTGAGGAAGTTCTAGTCGTCAGTTGCATCACTTTGACTTGAAATAACGGTGTGGAAACAAAGAATCACAGATTGATGCTTTTCTGACAGTGGCTGTTTTTTTTGTTTTTTTTTTGAGAGAGTGTATGTTTGCCGCAGGATATTCAGCTGTTGACAGCTAAAGGCCGCGGTGTTCTTGATTTGACACCGGAGTGACATCACCGACTTTAGATACACTATAGGAAAGACAGCGTTAGACATCGTGTGTCGTTGGCTTTGTTCTGTCAGAGTACGTGAAAGAGTAGGAAAACCAAACACTGCAGACAACACCGGCCTTTCCAGTGAGAGGGGAAGGCTGAAAGTTTGAAAACTTCTTAGCGTAATAATAGTGAAAATGTGTAGAATTAAAAACATCGCATGACATTATTATTCTTTATTATTCTTTATTATTATTATACATGAGATAATCTAACAAAAATAATTGTTTGTCTTTCTGTTTCAGCAATATACTGATTTTTTTTTTGGAATGTTGATTTATCTGTTTTTGTAATTTTTTTTGCAAACCTTGATTAACATACTTTTAATGCTGTTGCCGAAAAAAAAAATTGGTGTAAATATTTGTGTCAAATAGCTGAAAAGTATAAGAAGCTCAGGGCTGATCCAGAATGGGACTGGACCACTACCATACAACATATCTCGACTCTCAAGACTCTCTCTGTTTTCACACCTCTTCTGCACCACCCTCATATATTCATCTGCCACTCCTGACCTCCTCCAGTTCTATAAGATTCCTCACAGACTCAGTGCAGCTCCTTCTGACGTCCTTTGTTCTTCTCTACCAACGCTCTCAAAGCAGGACTTGCGTCAGAAGAATTCTTTCTGGACATAAAACCAAACGGCTGGTCTCTGATGTGAACCGTTTGCCTCAGCTTCACTTCAAAGACTTTTTCCCCATACCTTCAATGTCTGCGTGATTTTTTTTTGTATTCGGAGTTTGCTACAGCTCTGCACACTATCTTTGTTATTACAGGACAAACAGCTTTAGGATTACCTCTGTGAAGATAATGCACTTAATCCTCAATATATACTGAGACCAGAGAACGAGAAAGTTGTGACCTTGACCAAAAACTGAAAACGGTGATATTTTGTGCATTGATCTATTTTATACAGATTTAAAAATGAACAATAAAATTAAAACAATTTCAGTCCTGCAAAAAAAAAAATAAAATGAAATATTAAACATCCAGAGTTCAGGATGATTTTTTATGTATATGTTTTACAGTGACTGACACGGTGACAGCAATAATCACCATAATCAACAGTTCCTTTATAAGAGTACCCACACCAGATGGCGCCATGTGCAGGTTTTAGTTGTAAGTGCACCAAACTGTTTATTTATATTAGCTTTTTATTACGGCTGAGTTTTCTTCCACTCCAGTTTTTATTTTATTGCCTCTTATGTGCAATATTGATTTCTGTGATGATCGTCTTAAATCGTCCAAAAATGCGATGCTAGGACATTTTGTTGAGGAACTGTGACCAAATGACAACGAAAGACTTTACATTCCTTTATATCACATTCTATTCTCTTGAAAAATGCCAGTGAGTGTTAATGGGTGGCCAGCCCAACCTGCAGGTCAGCAGTGGTACTACACCCAGAAAGTATAAAATATAGACTCACATAATCTCTGTTATGGAGCCTGATTGTAAAACATGCTCAGTGTTACAATGGCACTGCAGCTGGACAATAACACAATCTCACAGAGTGTTTTGTCCCACCAGCTTCAGACGAGGGATAAAAAGGAAAGATGGTTTATGGGTGGCAGTTTGGTCGGTGTTTTAATAGCACTCTGCATTATCTTTAAATCAAATGAAATGAAAACACAAGTACAAAGTAAAGTAACAGACTATGGCACTTAACTCTGAGACATCTGTGCCAGGAGGATTTCAAGGAAATGTGTCTGCAGCCAGAAGAAAGCGCAGCAACAGCACAAGGACATTTGTGGCCATTAAAAAAAACCAACGGCTCAGCAAACCAACAGTCACAGACTGACTGCTGTGGTAAAAAAAATAAAAAAATAAACTGGACTCGGCCACTTTAGACTCATTTCTGATCCAATGAAGATGCAGTTCTATCTTTCACCACTATGTTAAAAACAAAAAAACTCACAAATAACTAACCATTTATTCATTAAGTTGTACTCATAGTACCATGTCACCCTAATATAATGGTGTGTGTATGATGTTGTAGCAGTTCCATAAGTTAGCGGTTAGCACGCCTGCCTCGGAATTT